CGTTTTCTTTTGATAAGTAGATAACCAACTTTCCCAGAGAGTAGATATTTCCGTTTTCAGATAAATTCCCGTTTCTATAATAATACTTCGGAAAAATTAGGCAATATTTCCCAAAACTCGATAATCTACTTCCCAAAGTCGATAATCTACTTCCCAGTAGACAATCTACTTTCGAAAAAGTAGATAACCAACTTCCCGAAAGTAAATATTTCCCAATTTCTATGATATAAATTTCCCGTTTTCTAAGATAATCTACTTCCGAAAATTAGGCAATATTTCCAAAACCCAATAATCTACTTCCCCAAAAAGTCGATAATCCACTTTCCAGTAAATAATCTACTTCGGAAAAATAGATAACCAACTCCCGGAAAGTAGATATATCCCATTTTCTGCGATACAAATTCCCGTTTCATGATAATCTACTTCGAAAAATTAGGTAATATTTCCCAAACTCGATAATCTACTTCCCCAAAAGTCGATAATCTACTTTCCAAAAAGTAAAACTACTTTCAAAAATAGATAACCAACTTCCCGGAAAGTAGATATATCCCATTTTCTGTGATACAAATTTCCGTTTCTATGATAATCACTTCGAAAATTAAGTAAAATTTCCCAAAAAGTCGATAAAATACTTCCCAAAAAGTCGATAATCCACTTTCCAAAGTAGATAATCTACTCGGAAAAGTAAACAACAACTTTCCCGAAAGCAGATATTTCCCATTTTCTAAGATACAAATTTCCCTTTCTATGATAATCTACTTCGGAAAATAGGTAATACTTCCAAAAACTCGATAATCTACTTCCCCTAAAAGTCAATAATCTAATTTCCCGAAAAGTAGATAACACTTCGAAAAATAGATAACCAACTCCGGAAAGTGATATATCCCATTTCTGTGATAAAAATTTCCCGTTTCTATGATAATCTACTTCTGAAAATTAGATAATATTTCAAAAACTCGATAATCTACTTAAAAGTCGATAATCTACTTTCGAAAAGTAGATAATCTACTTTTCCGGAAAAAAATAACCAACTTTCGGAAAGTAGATATCCATTTTCTATGACACAAATTTCGTTTTCTATGATAATCTACTTCGGAAAATTAGGAAAATTTAAAAAGTCGACAAAACACTTCCCCAAAAAGTCGATAATCCACTTTCCCGAAAAGATAATCTACTTTCGAAAAATAACCAACCCCAAAACCACAAAAAACCCCAAACAGATAACCAACTTTCCCAGAAAGACAGATATTTCCCATTTTCTGTGATACAAATTCCCTTCTCTATGATAATCTACTTCGGAAAATTAAGGAATATTTCCCAAAACTCGATAATCTACTTAAAAAGAATAATCCACTTTCCGAAAAGTAGATAATCTACTTTCGGAAAAGTAGATAAACTTTCCCGGAAAGTAGATATATCCCCATTTTATGAGAATAAAAATTTCCTGTTTTCTATGATAATCTACTTCGAAAATTAGGTAATATTTCAAAAAGTCGATAATCTACTTCAAAAAGTCGATAATCTACTTTCGAAAAGATAATCTACTTTTCAAGGAAAGTGAATAACCAACTTTCGGAAAGTAGATATTTCCCATTTTCTGTGAATACAAATTTCCGTTTTCTATGACAATCTACTTCGGAAAATTACAATATTTCCCAAAACTCGATAATCTACTTCCCCAAAAAGTCGATAATCTACTTTCCGAAGTAGATAATCTACTTTCGAAAAGTAGATAACCAACTTTCGGAAAGTAGATATATCCCATTTTCTGTGATACAAATTTCCCGTTTTCTATGATAATCTACTTCGGAAAATTAGGTAATATTTCCCAAAACTCGATAATCTACTTCCAAAAAGTCGATAATCTACTTTCCTAAAGTAGATAATCTACTTTTCGAAAAAATAATAAACTTTTCGGAAAGTAGATATATCCCATTTCCTGATAAAAATTTCAAGTCTAAGATAATTTACTTCGGAAAATTAGGTAATATTTCCCAAAGTCGATAATCATTTCAAAATCGATATCACTTCCAAAATCATATCATCTCAAAATGAATAACCAACTTTCCAAAGCAGATATTTCCCATTTTCACGATATAAATTTCCATTTTCTATGATAATCTACCTCAGAAAATTAGAATATTTCCCAAAAGTCGATAATCTACTTCCCAAAAGTCGATAATCTCTTTCCCGAAAAGTAGATAATCTACAAAAGATAACCAACTACTCGGAAAGTAGATATTTCCCATTTTCTGTGATACAAAATTTTCCTTTTCTGTGATAATTCACTTCGAAAAATTGGTAATATTTCAAAACTCGATAATCTACTTTCAAAAGTCGATAATCCACTTTGAAAAGTAGATAATCTACTTTCGGAAAATGAATAACCAACTTTCCGGAAAGTAGATATCCCATTTTCAGATACAAATTTCCCGTTTCTATGATAATCTACTTCGGAAAATTAGGTAACATTTTCCCAAAACTCGATAATCTACTTCCCTGAAAAGTCGATAATCTACTTTCCTGAAAAATAGATAATCTACTTTCCGGAAAGTAGATAACCAACTTTCGGAAAGTAGATATTTCTTTCTATGATACAAATCCGTTTTATGATAATAGATAACTTCCCCAGAAAGTAATATTTCCATTTTCTGTGATACAAATTTCCCGTTTTATGATAATCTACTTCGGAAAATTAGGTAATATTTCCCAAAACTCGATAATCTACTTCCTGAAAAGTCGATAATCTACTTTCCCGAAAGTAGATAATCACACTGGAAAATAGATAACCAACTTCCGAAAGTAGATATTTCCATTTTCTATGATAAAAATTTCCGTTTTCTATGATAATCTACTCGAAAATTGATATTTCCCCAAAACTCGATGCCTACTTCCGAAAAGTCGATAATCTCCTTTCCCGAAAAGTAGATAATCTACTTTTCCGGAAAGAAATAACCAACTTTCTCGGAAAGTAGATATTTCCCCATTTTCTATGATACAAATTCCGTTTTCCTTGATAATCTACTTCGGAAATTTGGTAATATTTCAAAACTCGATAATCTACTTCCCTGAAAGTCGATAATCTACTTTCCTGAAAGTAGATAATCTACTTTCAGGAAATAGAATCACAACTTTCGGAAAGTAGATATTTCCCATTTTCTATGATACAAATTTCCCGTTTTCTATGATAATCTACTTCGGAAAATTAGTAATATTTCCCCAAAACTCGATGATCTACTTCCTGAAAAGTCGATAATCTTCTTTCCCGAAAAGTAGATATCTACTTTTCGGGAAATAAGCACTTTCGGAAGTAGATTTTCCCATTTTCTATGATACAAATTTCCCGTTTTCTATGATAAGTGAAACCAACTTTCCCAAAGTAGATATTTCCCATTTTCTGTGATACAAATTTCGTTTTCTATGATAATCTACTTCGGAAAATTAGGTAATATTTCCCAAAAACTCGATAATTCTACTTCCTGAAAAGTCGATAATCTACTTTCGAAAAGTAGATAATCTACTTTTCAGAATAAATAACCAACTTCTCGGAAGTAGATATTTCCCATTTTCTATGATACAAATTTCCGTTTTCTATGATAAATGATAACCAACTTTCCCGGAAAGTGATATTTCCATTTTCTGATACAAATTTCCGTTTTCTATGATAATCTACTTGGAAATTTAGGTAATATTTCCCAAAAACTCGATAATCTACTTCTGAAAGTCGATAATCTACTTTCCTGAAAAATAGATAATCGCGCTAAATAAATAATATTTCGGAAGTAGATATTTCCCATTTTCTATGATACAAATTTCCCGTTTTCTATGATAAGTAGATAACCAACTTTCCAGGAAAGTAGATATTTCCCATTTTCTATGATACAAATGTCCCATTTTCTATGATAATCTATTTCGGAAAATTTAGTAGGCCTAATATTTACCAAAAAGTCGATAATCTACTTCCACGAAAAGTCGATAATCTACTTTCTCGAAAAGTAGATAATCTACTTTTCGGGAAAGTAGATAACCAACTTTCCCGGAAAGTAGATATTTCCCATTTTCTATGATACAAATTTCCCATTTTCTATGACAAGTAGATAACCAACTTTCGCAGAAAGTAAATATTTCCCATTTTCTGTAATACAAATTTCCCGTTTTCTATGATAATCTACTTTGGAAAATTCGGTAATATTTACCAAAAAGTCGGTAATCTACTTCGCCGAAAAGTCGATAATCTACTTTCTCGAAAAGTAGATAATCTACTTTTCGGTAAAGTAGATAACCAACTTTCCCGGAAAGTAGATATTTCCCATTTTCTGTGATACAAATTTCCCGTTTTCTATGACACGTAGATAACCAACTTTCGCAGAAAGTAAATATTTCCCATTTTCTGTAATACAAATTTCCCGTTTTCTATGATAATCTACTTTGGAAAATTAGGTAATATTTTCCAAAAAGTCGATAATCTACTACCCCGAAAAATCGATAATCTACTTTCTCGAAAAGTAGATATTCTACTTTTCGGGAAAGTAGATAACCAACTTTCCCGGAAAGTAGATA